GTATTAAAATCTTGAACTAGTTTTTTGACATTCTGGGTAAATGTCAAGGCAGTCATTTTGGATTTTCCATTCTAAAATCTTGTCTGTAAAGTTCTGTTTACATGTTTTCTGGTTAACTGTTTGATGGATGAATTTCAAATTTTCAGGAGTGGTTCATAGTATAAAAATCTCGAACTAACTAATTTTTGGGCATTCTGGGTAAATTTTTATGGCTGCCATTTTGGATTTTTCGTCCTCAAATTGTGTTGGTAAAGTCTTGTCTACTTATTTTCAGGATAACCATTCGATGGGATCACCCATTGGTGGGGACATTTTGTACACATTTGTGTTCTTGTTTATACTTGTTTTATTTCTTAATTACACAGTTTATGACAATGTTAGTTACAAATATTGGTGACAAATCACTATAAGGTAGCATTATGAGATCATTCTATGTATAAAAAAGAAGATTGAGTTATTTTTATGCTTTTTATTTATGGGGCCATTCAGCCCTTGATATTGTGCTTATCTGCTTCAGTATAATGTTAACATGTACTTGCATTGCGCACGTTGTAATTATTATTTAATGCAAAATGCAATGTACTTAATAAGATATGATTTATTTGTAAAAAGCAATATATTTGTTTATAACTTAGAGCAATGTACAAGTACTGAACTAGTGCACTTGTTTTGTGCAATGTACTTGTCTAGTGTACTTGTATATGGTGCAATAATCATAAGCGATCTTTTTGCCAATCATATTTTATTAAAATATCTTGATAACAGCTGCTGTAAATGTTATTGTATATCCTCAACTTATTGTATAGCATAAGTTTATTGTATAGCCTCAAGTTATTGTGTAACCTCAGATTATTGTATAGCATCAGACTATGGTAATAAAAATTGTAATACACACCTAGACATATTTATTTGTTTCCAGTTCATTTCTTGGTAAATGTATCCTCTATTAAATCCCCAAGTTTTGGCATTTTAACTTTTATATATCAAAAGTTACACTATTTTGAAAATAAGAGGTGTAAAATTATAAAAAGCGTATAGTTTAAGATTCGTTCTCGATACCTGTTTTATTCTAAGGGGATTTTAGCTAACTTGATATGCGATGTCTTCCTCTGGTAATCTCTATTCTATAGATCACTAAGAAACAAAACTATAAATTGCATTTGGGAAATCACTAATCATTTTAATCAAGAAATAACATAAATTTACGTTGTAATGCATAAATGCCGTCGCTTCTCAAAAAAATTGTTTTTCAAAACGCAACACTGTCATGTATTCTCATGATGTTTAACACAACATGTGAAAAGTTATTTTGGGCATACAATGAAACTATGGGATTTCGCTTTTAAATCATCATATATTTGTATGTGGCAAAGACATCTAGTAATAATCAGAAATAAGTTAAACTTGTCAGTGCAAAACAACGTCGCTTAAAGTAAAAATTGACGCAATTGTTAATCCACTGAATCTTTCTCGTATATATCCAAAGTCTTAAAACACAAGCTCCTGTCCATTGTATTGTCACCATAAACCATTTTATATCTTTTAATAGAGATACAAAATTACAAAATTACAAAATAATAACGTATCTTAATATCATTATCAAAACATTTTAACTCGATCAATACCATTTACTTATTTGTTTAGAAGAATATAAATTCGTGATATCATGACCAACTACAAACAATAACAACTTCTTAAACAACAAAACAACAAAACATAAAATGCTTCATAGCAGAGGCAAATGAAAGAGAACGTCGCATAAATCTAAGACATTTCGTTCCTTTACAATTGTCAAATGTTTACTTCACTGGAATAAGGTTTTAGCCAACGTTTTCACTACTTTTGCAAGATCAATTGCATGTCACTGGCGGCGATTTTCATCATTCGTGCGTGCTTCCCAGTTGCAAGTGGGTCTGAAATTTTACACAAAATATCATTTTCCTTAACCCAAATTAGATCTGTTTGCTTGGGCCATTGGAATAACTGCCTTTTTTTCTTCATGAAATTAATTTCATATTCTCCGTCCTCCTCATCTCTGTCCACAATCTTTCCAATATACCAATTTCTATCATATAACGCAGCACAAAACTCATCTTTGATGTATCTCATTGCTGATATTTCGTTGTTACTAGTGCATTATTGTTTACATCACTTTTCTCTGAGCTGGATTGATTTTTAGACTTTGTATTAGTGAGTTTTGCTCCAGTCCACTTGTCACAAAAGTCTCCGTTTAAACAGTGTTTGCAATAACAGCTGACATCGCTCATCATGACAATGTTGTTCCCGATCCCAGAAATTGCATGTAGCTTGAATGTCCCTTTCAAAGGTTTGACTTTGTCACGAAGTTCAAGCTCATTCTTTTTGACTGCGCATCTTTCGGAACTTAACCAAATGAACTTGACAGCCTTCTTCTGATACGTTACTTTTCAAGGTATTTTTGTCCCTCGATTCTTTTCTTTCTTTCTCTTTAATTCTTTTGAATTTCTGGTTTAGTCTTGGCCATATTCAGCAACAAATTGTGAATTCCCGGGTTAGTTACCACTATTAAGACAGAAATAAAACAAGTATTAAGCGACGTTATCAAAAGCAACGTAGCTTAATTGATATAAAACTCAAGTCGTAGCGATTTGGGAAAAAAGGTTGACATCATGTTTTAACAATGACCAATTAAGTTGTTTATTTAGAATATCTTTCAACCGAATCGGGATATCCTAGATCTTTGATTAACCAGCTTTGCTCAGGCAAAAGATACAGGTGTTGTACTTACGCGATTGCTGTATTATTTAGGGATTTTTAGGAAGAAATCCCATTTCATTTGACTGCAATAAAGTATGGCGTATCATGAGATCACGTGATGATCTCCTCCACTGGGTTTGCAGCATTTATTGCTGAGTTAATCAACTTATTTCGCACTTTCCGTAACGTACCTTATTGCAACGTACATGAGGAAAACTCATTACATGTTCCAATAAAGCAATATAGCAGAGCGAACAAAGGTAATGAGCACATTATATTGAATGTCCGCCTTGTCATATTCAAGAATTTATTTACTAATTCCATCAAGCTATTACAAAATGTTGGGAAATGTTGTAACGTACCTTAAAATCCTTATCTTTTGAATTGAAAAAAGACACCTTTATGACCTATAACTTTTGTTCTGGATAGAATACAGTTTTGAAACTTTGCATGCATTTTGATAAATCATTATCTGATAAAATATCACTTTGGGTTAAAAATTCAAGTGATTCGTGCATTCTCTAGAAATTGAAATATCTAAAGTGGTATTTTAGAAAAAAAACTGGCGACATTGGTTCCAGGCATCTGATAATTAGGTTGGAAAGGATTAAATTCCTCGAAACGTTGGTAAAATACAGTATATACCCACAGGTATCTTTTCAGGAAGTTTGGATGTGTTCTGAAATCTATAACTACTTCAGTTATGCTTATAAAACATCACTCTGGCGACATAACGTACCTGAGGAATTTGTCAGCAAATTAAGTTAGAAAAAATTCTCACTTACCACCAAACAATTAAACTTTGCTGTTTGGTGGTTGTACAAGTGGGTATTGGTCCTAATTAGATGTTCTTTAAAAAATTCTATATATATCTATTAACGGTTGAGAAAAAACCCTTGGCGACACGAATGTCTGCTTATATGTGGAATGACCGTTAAGATACGATAAATAGTACCGTGGGTACTGGGCTCACATGGTGTTACTAAAAAGTGAATAATGGCCGATTTTTTGTAACAAAATTATTTCATACAACTACTCTTTACAGTGTCATGGCTTTTTACAATGCAGGACACCTGATATAATTTGTAAAGCTTGGAAAAGTGCCAAAAGAGAATTTCAAGAAACAAAACTGGCGACCATTTTGAAAATAAGGGAGCTTTTAAACCAGGAGTCATGGGGGAGTTTTCTGTATTATGTTGAAAAAACTTGGATTTCGCGAGACATATGGACAAATCAATGGCTCAAAATATAAAAAAAAACGGATTTAATTTTTGCCCATTTTTTGTAACAAAATTATTTGGCGGCCATTTTGAAAATAGGCGAGCTTTATAACTAGGAGTCGCATGGGAGTTTTCTGTATATTGATGTTGCACCTAAAACAGGAATCCTATCGATAGAGGTTTTAAACCAAATGGTCCAAAAGTGGATTTCGCGAGACAGATGGACAAATCCATGTTAACTAAAATGGCTGGAAATAAAAAAAAACGGATATAATTTTTTGCAGATTTTTTGTAACAAAATTATTTTATACAACTACTCTTTACAGTGACATGGATTTTTACACTGCAGGACACCTGAAATTTTTTGTAAAGCTAGGAAATGGGTCAAAAGTGAATTTCGCGAGACAAAAATGGCGACCATTTTGAAAATAGGCAAGCATTTGAACCAGGAGTCATAGGGGAGTTTTCTGTATCGATGTTGAACAAAAATAACTTAAAATGGGAATCCTATCGACACAGGTTTTAAAGCAAATGGTCCAAAAGTGAATTTCGCGAGACAAAAATGGCGGCAATTTTGAAAATACTCTTTACATTGACATGGCTTTTTACAATGCAGGACACCTGTCGTAGGGGGTTAAACGGAAATCCTATTGACAGAGGTTTTAAAACGGGCCAATTGTTGACAGACGGACAGATGGATGGACGGACGGACGGACGGACAGACAGACAGACAAGTGAGTGATTGCAAAAGCTCACCATGTGAGCTAATAAAAACACTTTAAAGGATTTTCGAGGCCACATTTCAAAGAAAAAAATGAACTTAACACTTTCCTTAAGTCCAGTTATTTTTGTAACATCGCGTTTAACAACATATAACTACAATGTATGGACTAGCACAACATATTCAAGTTTGAGTTTATTTCTTCTATGCCATTCGAAAAATGATCAATCCAAGATACAGTATTACATATTTGGGGAATATATCTACATAATCGAATACTGATGTTTTGAATTGTTGAGATTCTGATAAATAATTCACCAAAGCAAGTGGTTCTTTTCAATGTCTGTTGTTTTGATATTTCTCTTTCCTTATTTTGGGCAAAGATATCTCACTTCATAGTCCAGACATCTAGAGCCATAATTCTGATCACTGTTCTGACACACGAGTCCCCCTTGAACTGAGCAGTCAGCTGTTGACATAAACACCTGGTTAGTCCTCGAAGCAGGAATGTGGGTTCCTACGGTCCTGCATCCTATTGCTATTGGATTCTGACATGGCATGGACTGAAATGTAAAATAATAAATGCTGTTGCACTCGCTCGTTCTAGAATATAACAAATAAAAGTTTGTGCATTGCAAACATTATAATTTTTGCACTAGTATGGCCTAAAACGGCAAAAATATAAAACAAAAAATGGTGTATGACCTAGATTATACACTCCCCTCCATAAGTTTGGCAACCTTAGCTCCCCCATTGAACCACTTGTTAAAGCCTCTTTACCTTTGAATTTTTATTTACTTAACCTCCGATGAAAATACTTATACTATTATTTGAAACAGAATGTGACTTTATTTCCAATACCCCCAAATTTCAAAAGTCAAAACACAGGAGGTGAAGATTTATTTTCAAAAATGACTTTGAAGCGCTGTTACTTTAGTATTCATCAAATAAACTAAACACTTGGTGTACAAAAAAAGTTACACAATTCAATTTTCTATATGAAAATATTTTTGCTGAATCTTTTACTGAAAAGATATCTTGATTTCTGATTTGCCCCGAACCCTCCATTAGATTATGGGACTGACGATTTTCAAAAATTCATCAAATTTATCATAGATTTTCATCCTATTGTAATTAAGGAAAAAATTGAGAAAATTTGGAGGTATTGGAAATAAAGTCAAGTTACGTTTCCATCAAAATTATAAGTTATTTCCTCGCAGGTTAAGTAAATAAAAATTCAAACGCAAAGAGGCTTTAAACCGTAGTTCAATGGAGGGGGGGGGCTAAGGTTGCCAAACTTATGGAGGGGAGTGTAACATTAAAAGCTTGGATTTACACAAAACTTTCTTAAATATAAAAACAAAAGTTGGTATAGTAGAATGACCTAGAATTATAACACATAAATCCTTGGTGCATTGACATGGCTTAGATTAACTTAGATTCTAAAAAGGTTGGTATATTTGCAAAAACCTGGAATATTACACATAAAAGATAAGTGCACTTGAATGAACAGAACAGCCTGATTGAAATTATAAAAATTATAAGAGTAATACGTTTATATGTTTCTAAAAATAGCCAGTCATTTGTTGCAAAAAGTATAGAATGCATTTGTTAATAAATACTTCATTGCTTTTTAAATGTAAATATTGGCAAATTAAGATTTTCAGCTTGTATACCACCATGGGTATATTGTTAGATATGTCATCATTTGTTTACCGCACCCAGTCCCTTTTCGAGGTTCTCTCTATCCTCCCGGTCACCAGCACGGTGTTATAGCATGACGGATACGCCACCTCTGAAAACGAGGTTAGTCGAATACGATCACTGATTTATCCAATAAAATGGCCACGATGAAACAGAAAGCTAAGATAGGTGCATTATTTTCTACTACTGCGTATCAATAAAAGCATGAAAGATTTATGTAAGCGTCGCATTCGGTGATGCATTCAGTAATGTTTATTTTGAACGTAGTCTTTGCAAATCGACGCCCATGGATAACATGAAATAAGCGAAAAACTGTCGAGTTTGAAATTCAAAATTTCATAAAATTTAGTAATTTGTTTTTTTTTCCTCGTTAGGACATGCTTTACATTGCGCAACAACCTTGGTGTATATATATGTAACCTACATACGATAATACAAAGCCAATTAAGCATTGTAAACCACTTAATATGTTCTACTCATGCCATAATAATGTATTTTGAATTTGCGGATACGCCAAAAATTGATAGACAGTTACGCGAACCTCGTTCATATATGTAACACCGAATCATTTCATATCGCTTGTGATCCAAAATTGAAATGTTTTTCAACCGGATTTGAGTTTTATAAGCTATAATAGATGAAATCGTATTATTACCACCTTGCAGGGCCTGTTCTAGGGGTTTTAGTACTAGTTGAGAAGGCATTTAAATTGCTATATTGACGTGAGCAATATTGTGTCGGGCGTTAATGACTTTAGTCGGGCAATAATGACATTATCCGCCCGGCTATATTTCCCGGGAAAAGTGATATCGTTCAGTGCGTAAGATTTTCTATATCAAATTTGCTATTTCAGCCCTGGGCTAACTTTGATTTGTCCTAGATTTTGACCTTGACCTTGATATGAACTGATTTCCCAGCAAGTCCACCTCAAGTCTCATATAGATTGGTATATTCTATATAACCTGAACCTAGCTTGAAGAATAAAAGCTGCTAGAAATAATGCATAAATAGATAACATCTGAGAAATCTAAAAAAAGAGATTTGACTGTAAGTCCGTTTTAACAACGATATAAATAATTCTCAATTTTAACACCAATATATAGAATTCTGCTATGTCACTATATTTCAACTATAGTAAAAGGTTTAACGACTTTCGAAGTGTAATGTAATTTTGATTTACCACCACAACATAGCCTCTGGTAATATATGTTGTTGTTTTCTTCCGTCGCCTGTTCGTTGTTACTAATTTCTTCCATTGCCTCTTCATTACAATCATTTTCACTTTCATTTGCTTTCGCTATTTTTTTCCTTGCCCTATAGAGGCTCAAGCAAGAGCGTCTCTTGCGAGTCCTGAAAACAAAAAGGTAGTTCACACATAGAGAGCTATCCATCTAGCGACCTTGACTTGACAGGAACTTGCATGTAACCGTCCGCTAACATCTAATGTTAAACTAATACAATGCGTTGCTGTCCATAAAAAATCATGCAATACATACGTATCTGTCTAACGACCTTGCGATTGAAACCTTATTATCTACAATATTCACCACATTTCTGTTCTGCATTTGTCATTTTATGGCTTGTTTATACACAGTTTACGTACAGTTAGTATTTTCAGTGGCTCTGAGGCACATATACTGAGAAAACACGAAAAAGGACTAAAAATTATGAACTTCGAAATCTCAGCCGGGTAGGTTTACAGCTTATATTCTGCTTCTTGTAGACCACACGACAGATTTAACTCAATCTTTATAACCATTCACATATGCATCACCGAATGGAACTAGTTGAAAAGGAAAGCTTACCTGTGAATCTTGCCTACAGGCGAAAAAGAGGACATGCTGTCTTTCCCGTCCGCCATTTTTTGTTATCGTTACCGCAAAATTTGGCCAATTGCCTTGTCGTATCTGTCATGCTATAACACCGTGACCAGTGCCACTTGGGTCGTCTCTGTCTATCCATGAAGACCAGGACGCTGCTGTAAACATCAGAAAAGAAAATGTCTGAATTCTTGTTCAAATATTTTAAAATGGCACTGAAACTCAAGTATTTGATTTTGACTTTCTAAATTATTCCTTAACTAGTTGCATGATTTCTTATCTACATAATGATATTATACACTTACTTGGGGTATACTTTGGGCAGAGAAATCTAATTTCATAGTCAAGACATCGAGAACCTGGTTTTTGTTCATTGTTGACACACACCAGTCCACCTTCTACTGAACAATCAGAAGCCCTTTTAAACAACTGACCGGTTCTCGAAGCAGGAACATGGGTTCATACTGTCCTGCATCCTATTGCTATTGGATTCTGACATGGCATCACCTGGAATATACGTACACAAACACAGGGATCAGTTTTCGAAGCAGGAATATGGGTTCCTACTGTCCTGCATTCTATTGCTATTGGGTGCATCACCTGGAATGATATTGAAACGCGGGGTGTGTAAGGGGAATTTATTTAGATGTTCTAGCCGCATTGACACTCTACCGCATTCATTACTATTAAAAAAGCTAGAATCGTTTAGATATTGAGCCTTCCATCATATCCCTTTTAAAGTCATATTTGTTCAAGAAAATATAGAACGCATATACAGGGTGTCCCGAAAGTATGCCCCCCCCCCCTAGGCAGACATATACCAGTGTTGTCATAGTATGTGTCATATATCATTTTAAAGCTTATCCAAAGTTACATTGATTTGCCAAGTATCATGGTTCAACTCTCAAATGTGAAAAAATCACAGGCATTTCAAAATTGAGTGTTTGGTCAAAATTAAGTTCAATTTTACACCAAATCAATAGTCAAAGTGTCCACCCGGGCAATCGTAACAGCAGCAATTCTTTTCGGGTCAGAGAGATATTGAGTTGGAGAAAGAGAACGGTGAGGGTAGAAACTCTAAGGAAACTCTTCTAAAGTGCCTTAACAGGTTTTAAGAGGGTTATAAAATTCCACACCCCTATTTAAAGGGCTTTTAAGGTCATATCTGAAAATAATTACTGCTGTTAACATGGCCAAGGGGGACTCATTGACTTGTAATGTTGTGTGAAACTGAACTTTATTTTGACAAAACACTAACTTTTAAAATGACTAACTTTTTCCCATTTGGGAGTTAAACCATGATACTTGGCAAATCAATGTAACTTCGGATAAGCTTTAAAATGATATATGACATATACTATGAGGACACTGGAATACCTCTGCCTAGGGGGGGGGCATACTTTCGGGACACCCTGTACATGTATTACATAATATAAAATTATGAAATACTTCCTTGCTTTTTTATATGTACATATTGACATTTTAAGATTTTTGACGTACTTGTATACCGCCATGGGTATATTGTTTAGATATGCCATAATTTGCTTACCGCACCCAGTCCCTTTTCGAGGCTCTCCCTATCCTCCCAATCACCAGTGCCACTAGCATCATCTCTGTCTATCCATGAAGACCAGGACGCTGCTGTAAATATCAGAACTCAAACTGTCTGAATGGTTGATACAAAGTAACATTTCAAATGGCACTGAAACTCAAGTATATAATTTTTGGCACTTTATTTTTACCCTAGGTGCATGAAACAATGATATTATGTACTTACTTGGTGTATTCATTGGGCAAAGAAACCTAATTTCATAGTCAAGACATCGAGAACCTGGTCTTTGTTCATTGTTGACACACACCAGTCCACCTTCTACTGAACAATCAGCACCTTCTTTAAACACCTGACCAGTTGACGAAGCAGGAATATGGGTTCGTACTGTCCTGCAGTCTATTGCTAGTGGATTCTGGCATGGCATCACCTAAAATACATCGTGTACATAAACACATCATCAGTGTGCGATGCAGGAATATATATTAGGTTCGGTAACCGGACAACTCATCCCCTAGACGACTCATCCCTGGACAACTCATCCCCTAGACAACTCATCCCCTGGACAACTCAATATCCATTAGAATTGAAACGTCAAAGCGGGTTTTGTTGGGAAACATATGAGAAAGGAGTTAAAAATTCATAAAACATGTTTGCCATCCAAAAATACAATAAAATCATTGTAGACTACTTACCGCACCCAGTCCCTTTTCGAGGCTCTCTCTATCCTCCCAGTCTCCAGTACCACTAGCAGGCCTGTCAACTGTCCCGCAATTTGCGTATTTGTCACGCATTTGCTGAAGAATTTGAAGTCACGCTAGTTATTTTTGCGTGACAGAAAATGTCACGCAAATACGCATTTTACCCCCCCCCCCCCCCCCCCCCCGTTGATGGATGTTTGAAACGCGAGCGTAGCGAGCGCGAAAAATTCGAGGTGTTCAAAATTTAGCAAGATGTAATAAAATTTAAACCAAGGTGTTCAAAATTTGGATCAAGGTGTTCAGATTTGGACCAAGGTGTCCACATTTTGAGGGGAGGTGTTCAACATTTCCAAGTCACTCATGTTAGGTGTTCCCAAGTTGACAGGCCTGCACTAGTGTCATCTCTGTCTATCCATGAAGACCAATAAGTTGCTGCAAGACACAGTATTTCAATTGTTTTCAAGTCAAAATCATTTTCTAAATAAAAAGTCTGAATCTGGGGTCTTGAACTGAATTTCGTCAATCTAGTTCTTCAACTATCATGGTTGACTTAGATATGAATCAGGCTTTCTGGGTAATTAGGTCAAACCTTTATCTAGGTGAAAGCTAAAAAACTAGTTTGTCCTTATACTTATATATTTCTTGCGATGAATTAAATTGTAACTAGATTTAAGCATTTAAGCATACAAATTGCTCGCTATATATCAGCATTAGATTTTTACCGTTGTTTAGATATTGGACGTCAAAAACAGTAAAATCGTTTATTTTTCAACATGCTTCAAATTGACATTTTAAAAAAAATCATCTACAAAGTTTAAGGAATTCAAATCAAGATCAAGCATAAAATTGACCTTCAGTGACCTTGAAAGGTAAAAAAGTGGATTTTTCAAATTGATCTTTTTGGATTCAAATTTATTTAATCACAAAAGACCTACTGAGGTCTAAACCGCAGGGTCAACGGTCAAGGTCATCAAACTGAGTCAAAAATGGTGTTATCTAAATAGCTCAAAGTTCGAGACTCCAAATCAATATTTTGGGTTGAAAGACGAATATACATATTCTTCTAAAGGTTCTACACATATTAGCAATTTATTATCTATTGAAATTCTGCACCAGTTTTTAGATTAAAGAGCGCAGAAACTGGGAAAAGGGTCAAATTTTTAAAAATCAATATGATGATATTCACATGTTAAGTCATAGGTTAAGTAAGCTACTTACTCATTTACCTAGTCAGATACTTACTCAGCTACTAACTTCTTACTTAGCTACTTACTCAGCTCTCTACTCAGCTATCCGGGTCAATTCAATTTGGAGAATTCAATTTAACTCCAGATGTAAATTAGGTCAACTTTCAAGCTAGATCAAAGGTCAAAAACTATTACACCACTTTTCTCAGTCGTTCTTCAGTATTTTTTCTTGGTCTTTCTTTCATCATGTTCCTTGTAAACAAAGCAAATGGCGAAAGGCAATTCGTTTTTTGATTACTCTTACCGAATTTGAGACATGGCGTCCGAAACGAAGGTCAGAATAAGAAAATCTCCTTTAACGTGTGAAAAGGTGTAGAATTGTTTCAGGAATCCGAATCTGCCAACAGAAGACAGAAGTTATGACGCTATATTTTTGGTATCTCATGTGAAGTCAATGAGGCCAAAGAAAATTGTGAATTGTAAAAATACGAGTAACAGACTGAATACAAATAAAATTAATAATGAATGCCTACCATAGAAGAGGATCCCATAAGCTACTGGGACACTGGAAAGCCAAGGTCAAAACTACTGTAGGTCAAATCTTACATTTTCAACATTATGTCAATCATTCAGTGTAACTCCTTCATCTTCTTTTCATCATAGAGCCCTTTCACAAAGGTCACTGCCGTTTTTTGATTACGCTTACCGATTTTGAGATATGGAGTTCGGAAAATAGGTCAAAACAAAAAAGTTTTCCAAATTTTCCCAAAATCCGAATCAACAAACAAAATTTCGATCCGACTTCCGGTTCAGAAGTTATATCGTTTCGAAATCTCAAAAATACGCTATTTTGGTATCCCTTGTTAACTCAATGGGATCGAATAATACTATAGAAGATGACCTCAAAAGCTACTTTAATTCAAAATTTGGGCACTGAAAATCCAAGGTCAAAATTTAGGTCAAATTTATATTTTTGCGATTCTGACACTATACTTTCATAATATTCTTCAAAGTTTGGTTTCTTCCCAGGTATAACTAAAAAGAACAATAAGCCCTGCAGTGCTCATTACATGCTCATGTGTTTTCAACAACAAAAGCTCACTCAAGCACACTAACAGTTTATTGCAATCGAACTCCAGTGGTGCACTAGCAACAAGCCGCCGCGGTTGACACACCCGAGCAGCCGACAAGGTTGTCACAGCGTAATTAGTGGTTTAAGTGCGCTTGGATGAACTGTTTTCGTTGAAAACGTGTGAGCATGTAATTTGCAACGCATGTGCTCATTTTTCTAGTTCGTGATACTTAGGTGATACTTATTATAAATCAGAATTGAAATACGACATAAGTCAGCTGCTTAATTACTCAGCTATCTACTCAACTATTTACTCACCTACCTACTCAATTTTAAAATGGAGTCTTATATTGAACTCTGTTCAGTTAACCATTCTAGTTTTATATTTGTTTCTTATATCTTTTAAAAAAATCGGGTTTACGAAAAAGACCGACCCCACCGACCACCGACCGGTCGGTGTTTTCCACTGGTAGCCTCAAAACAGGGTTTGAAGAAAATGTGTAAAAGACCGACCATATCATGTAAAAGACCGAACATATTTGTAGCCTTAAAATATCAATAATTTGATTTTGAATGTCAATCGTTCGACTAGGCAACGTTTTTTACCGATTTTGTACCTTGCAACGAATGGCAAGCAAACAAATTGGGTATGACCGTCTCCTCTCGATTAATTGTCCTGCCTTAGGTCCTAACCTATCATTAACCAACCTATCGTTTCTACGGGAATCTATCCTAATTTCTTACGGAAATTTAACAATTTCGAAACAAAAATGATTTGTTATCGTCATAGCCTACTGAATACTGAACACGATATAATGTTACATGCGTTCTCTTATCAGGATTATAAGTGACTTACCATTTCAGTACACCATTAGAAAGCTTTTTTTGTCATATCAAATGTAGTTTTTACCAGTTGACGTTTAACAACTGAGAAATCAAACATAACGTTACGACGTCAACATCGACGATGTTTGTGTGTTTTTGTTATTGCGTTTCATATGAATGAACTTAATGCAATGTTACGTGCGTTTTTTTCCAAAGTGACTAACCAGGATAAAATTGGTCTTCTAACAACTGAAACATCACTTAAAAATATGACATTACACACCACGACGATGTAACGTTTTCATCGTGATTTGAAATGATTAACTATACGTTTTTAAATCACGACCTAGTAAAGGTACTATAGTCATTGGATTCCCATTTTTAGTTTTACTTCTAATTTTGCAATTTTTCATCTTTATGTAAAAGACCGTCATCCGACCACCGACCACATGTACCCAACTGTGGAGAGTGACTGGTCGGTGGTCGGTGGTCGGCGGTCGGTGTTTTTCGTAAACCCCAAAGAAATCTCCAAATTCTTACTAACAAACTAAAAAATTATATTTACCTTGAGCCGCTCTTTTTGCAAGTGGTGATGTAAGCACTGTCGTGCTAGTATACAAAAGAACACAGGCAATGCAGAAAGAAAATCCCATCTTTTTACTTCAAAGTTTAATCGAACGTAATACGCAAGTTCAGTCTCAGTTTTAATTTAATGTTTCGCTGATATGATAATTGTCGTCTGACTTTTCTCATAAAATTGACTGGCTTTTATAGTTTCTGTATGACGCAGGAGCATTCTTCTGATGGTTTATGATCCAGGACGTAAGTGTCAAATTAAGTTGTTGTTCGTCAAAAGACATGGAATTATAACGAAAACACTTGTAAAATCGTTAAATAAAATTGAAGAGTTTACTGTTTTTTAAATTATGAATATTTCAGCTGTTACATAAATACCTTTTTGCACCTGATGTCTAATGTTATTTATTCTAGAACTCAAGAGTCGCATATTTACACAGTTCTTAAGTATATTGTTGTTATCAATGAATAAAAGACGATGATGTCATCAGTATCAGTCGCTGGTTTTAACCAACAAAAAGTAAACCCAGACTGAAGTTTAACCAATGAAAGTTCAGAGCTATTATAAATTGATAATCTTCCTTGTTCCCTGTTCCTTGAATATTCAATAAATAAAAACAAGTTGTTTTGTGTGAAAATCAAATTTCGGAAATTATATGCATGATCAAAATTATGTAATCTTATTGGCTCTGCTGCCTACCCAAACGGATATGACAAGGTCAGTGGGCCTTATGTGTTCCTCATTTTGCACTTATAACAATGTTTCACTGGATATCTCCAAAAGGAGAGGAATTCTATTGAAATGGACCTCAGAAATGAATTCCTCCTGGAAGAATTGAGGAAGATAGTATACTTATCTAAAACCTACAAAAATGACAATGTGGAAATAATGGGATGATTTTTCAATAAAAGAAAACCAAACTGATATCGTATCCCTTTTAGATGCGATAAAAACGCATCAAAGGATTTTCGAGGCCACATTTCAAAAGAAAAATAAACTCCACACATTTCTGAAGCTCAGTTTTTTAAGTTACATCACGTTTAAGAACATATAGCGACACTGTATTGACTAGCACAATTTATTTCTTCTATGCCATTCGAAAAATTATCTAGTATCCAAGATAATCAAAGTTTTGGGAACAATTCTATATTAATCGAATCCTGACGTTTTGAGGTGTTGAGATTCTAAAAAAACATATCGTCCGTGCAAGTGGTTCTGTTCAGTGCACGTTCATTTGATACTTCCTTTTCCTTATTTCGGGCAGAGATATCTCACTTCATAGTCCAGACATCCAAAGCCACCTGTCTGATCACTGTTCCGACACACAAGTCCGCCTTGAACCGAGCAGTCAGCTGTTGTCATAAACACCTGGTTAGTTTTCGAAGCAGGAATATGGGTTCCTACGGTCCTGCATCCTATTGCTATTGGATTCTGACATGGCATGGACTGAAATGTAAAATAAGAAATGCTGTTGCACTAGCTCGTTCTAGAATATAACAAATAAAGGTTTGTGCATTGCAAACATTTTAATTTTTGCACTAGTATGGCCTAAAACGACAAAAATACAAAAACAAAAAATGGTGTTCAAGTATGACCTAGATTATACACTCCCCTCCATAAGTTTGGCAACCTTAGCTCCCCCATTGAACCACTTGTTAAAGCCTCTTTACCTTTAAATTTTTATTTACTTAACCTCCGATGAAAATACTTATTCTATTAATGGAAACGTAATGTGACTTTATTTCCAATACCCCCAAATTTCAAAAGTCAAAACACAGGGGGTGAAGAATTATTTTCAAAAATGACTTTGAAGCGCTGTTACTTTAGTATTCATCAAATAAACTAAACAATTAGTGTACAAAAAAAAAGTTACACAATTCAATTTTCTATATGGAAATATTTTTTTGCTGAATCTTTTACTGAAAAGATATCCTGATTTCTGATTTGCCCCGAACCCTCCATTTCTCATTAGATTATTGGACTGACGATTTTCAAAAATTCATCAAATTTATCATAGATTATCATCCTATTGTAATTAAGGGAAAAAATGAGAAAATTTGGAGGTATTGGAAATAAAGTCAAGTTACGTTTCCATCAAAATTATAAGTTATTTCCTCGCAAGTTAAGTAAATAAAAATTCAAACGTAAAGAGGCTTTAATCCGTAGTTCAATGGGGGGGGCTAAGGTTGCCAAACTTATGGAGGGGAGTGTAACATAAAAAGCTTGGATTTACACAAAACTTTCTTAAATATAAAAACAAAAGTTGGTATAGTAGAATGACCTAGAATTATCACAATTATTGTTTAAAGGGTTGGTATATTGGCGTGAGCTAGAATATAACACATAAATCCTTGGTGCACTGACATGGCTTGGATTCTAACTTAAATTCTAAAAAGGTTTGTATATTTGCAAAAACTTGGAATATTACACATAAAAGATTGGTGCATTTGAGTGAACAGAACAGCCTGATTGAAATTATGAAAAATGATAAGAGTATTAGGTTAATATGTTTCTAAAAATAGCCAGTCATTTGTTGCAAAAAGTATAGAATGCATAAATACAGCAGTACTTCCTTGCTTTTTAAATGTAAATATTAACAAATTAAGATTTTCAGCTTGTATACCGCCATGGGTATAGTGTTAGATATATCATCATTTGCTTACCGCACCCAGTCCCCTCTCGAGATTTGCTCTATCCTCCCAATCACCAGTGCCACTTTGGTCGTCTCTGTCTATCCATAAAGACCAAGACGCTGCTGAAAACATCAGAAAAGAAAATGTCTGAATTCTTGTTAAAATATTTTAAAATGGCACCGAAACTCAAGTATTTGATTTTGACTTTCTAAATTATTCCTTAACTAGGAGCATGATTTCTTACCTACATATTATGATATTATACACTTACTTGGGGTATACTTTGGGCAGAGAAATCTAATTTCATAGTCAAGACATCGGGAACCTGGTTTTTGTTCATTGTTGACACACACCAGTCCACCTTCTACTGAACAATCAGCAGCCCTTTTAAACAACTGACCAGTTCTCGAAGCAGGAACATGGGTTCCTACTGTCCTGCATCCTATTGCTATTGGATTCTGACATGGCATCACCTGAAATATATGTACATAAACACAGGATCAGTTTTCGAAGCAGGAATATGGGTTCCTACTGTCCTGCATTCTATTGCTTTTGGATTCTATCAAGGCATCATCTGTAATATAATAAGTACATAGACACCTGATCAGTTTTCGATGCAGAAACATGGGTTCCCACTGTCCTGCATTCTATTGCTTTTGGATTCTATCAAGGCATCATCTGGAATATAATAAGTACATAGACACCTGATCAGTTTTCGATGCAGGAACATGGGTTCCTACTGTCCTGCATTCTATTGCTTTTAGATTCTATCAAGGCATCATCTGGAATATAATAAGTACATAGACACCTGATCAGTTTTCGATGCAGGAACATGGGTTCCTACTGTCCTGCATTCTATTGCTTTTGGATTCTATCAAGGCATCATCTGGAATATAATATGTACATAGACACCTGATCAGTTTTCGAAGCAGGAATATGGGTTCCTACTGTCCTGCATTCGATTGCTATTGGGTGCATCACCTGGAATGATATTGAAACGCGGGGGTGTGTAAGGGGAATTTATTTAGATGTTCTAGCCGCATTGACACTCTACCGCATTCATTACTATTAAAAAGTCATATTTGTTCAAGAAAATATAGAACGCATATACATGTATTACATATGAAATACTTCCTTGCTTTTTTATATGTACATATTGACATTTTAAGATTTTCGACTTGCATACCACCATAGGTACATTGGTAGATATGCCACCATTATTTCCTTGCTTCTATATATGTAAATTTTTGTATTTGTTAAATTTTCGACTTGTATACCGCCATGGGTATATTGTTAGATATCTCATCATTTGCTTACCGCACCCAGTCCGTTTTCAAGGTTCTCTCTATCCTCCCAATCACCAGTACCACTAGCATCATCTCTGTCTATCCATGAAGACCAGGACGCTGCTGTAAACATCAGAACTCAAACTGTCTGAATGGTTGATACAAAATGACATTTCAAATGTCACTGAAACTCAAGTATTGAATTTTTGGCACTTTATTTTTAACCTAGGTGCATGAAACAATGATATTATGTACTTACTTGGTGTATTCATTGGGCAGAGGAACCTAATTTCATAGTCAAGACATCGAGAACCTGGTCTTTGTTCATTGTTGACACACACCAGTCCACCTTCTACTGAACAATCAGCAGCTTTTTTAAACACCTGGCCAGTTTGCGAAGCAGGAATATGGGTTCGTACTGTCCTGCAGTCTATTGCTAGTGGATTCTGGCATGGCATCACCTGAAATACATTGTGTACATAGACACATCATCAGTGTGCGATGCAGGAATATATATTAGGTTCCTACAGTCCTGCATTCTATTGCTATTGTGTGCATTACCTATTGTGCGTTATAAGTTTAAGTGATCTGAAATTTGGCGTTTCGCAAAAAATATGTTCTTAGACGTATAGAAATGGTTATTTCATCGATCACTTCTATGTTCTTTCCTCAAGAATGATTTTTTCTCCTTAAAATTCCGTGTTTATCAGGTGAATTGGATAGTAGTATGACTCCGTGCCAAGTATCACTTATAAACAACCTTTTATAAGCGAGTGATGGCTCCTTATAAATGGATAGTGCTGCGTCACAAATGATGACGTCGTAGACACACATCTATAAGCGGGATTTTTTGGGCAACATATGAGAAAGGAGTTAATAATTCATAAAATATGTATGCCATCAAAAAAATACAATTATATTATAATAGACTACTTACCGCACCCAGTCCCTTCTCGAGGTTCTCTCTATCCTCCCAGTCTCCAGTACCACTAGTGTCATCTCTGTCTATCCATGAAGACCAATAATTTGCTGTAAACATATATATCTGCACATGAGGTGCACGTTGTTTATGACCTTCTATTCGAGCGGTAGCCATCCTATGCGAGTTTGAACTCGATGCGTGTGTAAAATTGACATCGAAATATACTTTGCTGTGTGTAATTCATTCAGTTAAATGCTACTTAAAACATAATCCGTGTGACATTTCAACATTGCTTCGTATGTTTGCAAAGTGATTCGAATAAGTATAACTCTATGTGTGACACTTGCAAGGGCGTAGCCAGCTTTCTGTCAGGGGGATGCGATCGCCAAACAAGTTTCAGTTTTCAGTCGGGGGGGGGTGCGATCGAGGCATAAGCAAGCCAAAAAAGTTTTTTTTACAATAATTGATGTAACTTCCTTCAAAATTGAGCTAGAAGCTTCAAATAAAAAGCATTTTAAAGCACTTTTCTTCCTCTAGCTCAAGGTTTTATTTGCATTGGTTATTGGGAGGGGCGGGTGTAAAAATCGTAAAAATCCTTATACCATGTACCAGTGAACGGAATTGGTTAAAGTTTTATATGCTGCTACCTAGGAACAAAGTAGTTCTACTTAAAAATAAATTTTCAAGATGGCAGCTGTATTTAAAAATGGCCACCATTTTTCGTAAACAAGATGTTGGCTGTATTTCAAAATGGCCACACTTTTTCTAAAAAAAGCATAATATTTTATAACTCAAATACCAGTGAACGGATTTGCCTAAAATCGTATAAGCTGATTCTGTTCAAGATGAAATTTTCAAGATGGCCAGTAATTATCAAAATGTGTTTTGTTCGATGGGATTTGCTTCTCCGTGGAGTTGCTGTTTTTCTAGTTGTTTATGAAATCATCGCGTACCTAAATAAAGAAAAAACGTACAATTTTGCTTACCTTGCGATAAAGATGTATTAATGATGGCATATAATAATGCCAATCTTAAAATCGATTTCATCATTTTGTCAACTAACACGGGATGTCCTTTCGATTCAGTATCTTCCGTAACTGGTGTTGATTGGTATATATAGTTTTTTGAGTAATTGCCATGGCATGTGTTTTATGTTATACAGGATAATCACGTGATCAATCAACATCGCTACCAAACAATTGATTGGCTCCTTTGATAATGACAGTTGCTCAAATCGAAAATTCCAATATCAATTTGTTCTGGGAACAACTCCTCCTCTTGTGTTATTGTTGAAATGACTTTGTATCGACTGGATAGAACGCATGTCATCACCTTTTTATTTTCTCTCAATAAAACGAATACATTGCATCGATCATTTCTGTTCATTGAACTAATGCACGTATTTCTGCATCATTTCGACCTTTATTCTATTATTATCTATCACAGTAAAACACTATAGTTAACTGCATTTTAGGGAATCTGGACTTCAATTTATGATTCAAACATTTCCTTTGACATGAGAGTACCTTAGGACAATAGAAGCAAATTTATCCAAAGACACAAGCCAGATTGCGCTTTATATTGGAAATATACGCATTTTTCAAAATGGCTGCCGAAAATACTACGGGGACAATATTTTTGCTTCTATGCGTGCTATAATGATTAGATTGGTGCCTAAATGTTTTGTTGGTGTAGAATCCATCTAATTAGGTTTCGAGTCTTGAAAATAAAGAAGTTGTGAACTTCCACTTTATATTCAAAATATATGCCTTTATTTCAAAATGGCTGCCAGAAATGTAACAAAGATGATATCTTCGCTTTTATGCAACAAAAGTTAATTTGGATCCAAAGTATACATTAATTGAGTGGTAGAATCTATTAAATAAGATTTCTAGTCTTTATCATTTCAATCGTTAGGGATATAGTGAAGCCCTCCGTGTATGGGGGGGGGTCTGGAAAACAGGAATTTGTGTTAATTTTGAGATCTTTCTGAAGTATAACTTTATTATATAAATGAAAGGCAGTTTAGAATAAATTGCTAATAGTTTATTGTTTTTCTGATTCAGGCTTTGTAAATTCGAAATGGCTACCTAATATAAGATTACGCAAATCTTTATTGATCTCTTCAAAGTATCGCTATATCATACTCAAATTGAACTGAATGGAATTATTTTTCTGACTTATGCCTCAGAAAATTCAAAATGACTGCCAAGAACAGGAATTTGATATCACTTAGATATCTCGTCAAGGTATAATTACATCATACTGTATTAGATCTAAAATATTGAATTGTCTTTTGACTTGTACCTTTGACTATATGGTCACGCAAATGATTAAATCAGTGGAAATTCTGATATAGTATGTCATTTGATTGCTAAAACATCTTCAAAATATATGCCTTTTTCTAAATGGTATAACAACAATTTGTATCATATTCTATAGCTTCTAATTCGACGTCAGAACCTACATTTATTGGACTGTAGGTATGGCTGTAAAATCCATTACATTAGGTTTTAAGTCTTGAAAAATAAGAATGTTAACTTGATATTGGAAAATGCAAATATTCCAAAATGGCTACCAAAAAATTAAATTTTAAGAAAGACGGATTTTCTAATTTACAGTTTTGAGTGATTTGTGTCGGAGCATGGCTCCATGGAAAATGAGGTAATAATTAATTAATTTTAATTTTCTATCTCTTAATTGTTGATGCTATGCAAGCATAGTAATCTTTTCTCCATTGAACACTTTATCTACACATAAAAACTCTTGAAGATTACTTAATCATTGAGAAAGTTATTCCAAAATTAGTTGGTGGCATTTTTTGTGTCACCCTGTACAACCTTTGTTATATTTTCAGCAGCTATTTTGAATAAATGTATAGATTTCCAATATAAAGTAAAGACTATTATTTCTCTTACCCCATAAATATAGATTTTGACACCAATCTTATCGTTGTAGCATGCACAGATGCGAAGATATCATCTTTGTTATATTTTTGATGGTCCAACTTAAGAAACGCTTAATTTCTAATATAAAGTGAAAATTTATATTTATATTTATAGGATTTTATTAGTACTGATGCCCTTTGAGGGCAAAACGTACATCTGACATACAATTTTCAATAACAGTAAATATAGCAATAAAGTAAAGAAAATGACATATAAAATGTTACTTTGATATAAGGATCTATTGTTAAAGACTTCAAACCTAATTTAATGCATTCTACAACCCAATTAATGTATACTTTGACACCAGTCTAATCATTGTAGCATGCATAGAAGCGAAGACATCTTCTTTGTTATATTTGTGCCAACCATTTTGTAAATTGCGTATATTTTGAATATAAAGTGAACGTTAATTTTCAAGACCCGAAGCCTAATTAAATGGATTCTTCAACCCCATCAATGTATTTTTTGACACCTTATATTATAATTGTAGCATGCATAGAGGCAAAGATATTGTCTTTGGTGTATTTTGGCGGTCATTTTGAAAAATGCTCATATTTCCAATATAAAGCATGATCTAGCTTGCGTCTTTGGATGAAATTGTTTTTATTGCACTAAAGTACTCCCATGCCAAAGGGGACAGTTGCATCATAAAATGAAGTCTAAATCTAGTTAACCCACCTACTACTATTAGCCATTAAAACTATACATGCATATTGTCACCGTTATGTTATAACGTTATCACTGGGGGGTATCGTGATGCAACAACACCGTGTTGTTGCATCAAGATGGCCAGACTTCCGGTGATAGATTTTCGTACGATATTTGTTTCCCCAATTTAAACCCATTTCTAGGACGAGTTGCTCAATAACCATACACGTTCAGTTAGCGCACGATCTGTATTTAAAGAAACTGTCATTAGTATACATGTAGCATCATCAAGAAGTAATAAGTTCACGGTTTTAGTTCCTCACTATTGATGCAACAACACCAAACCGAAGATGCGACAACACTCCTCTAGATTTGAGCAATGATGCAGTAACACCAATTAATAGTATAATTTCAGAAGACCATAAATGTCGGGAGGAACAGATTTTTAAAAGCTACTATTGCAACACCGGGCCATTACCCATTTGCGTTCTTCTCAAGGCATTCAAGATACACGTCCTGCGGGCGAAGATTCTTGTATTTTCAAAAATTTATACTTTTAAATATCAGGTAGTTCAATCACCTTTAGTATGGCAAGCTATAGTAACCCAATCGATTTTCATAAACCACTGTGCCATAGCTTGATGACCCTGACTCCAGTTAGTATCATTCAAAATGGTGGATAAACATCTTTCGTTCTCCGTAAACATGACGAGCTATTTGAAATTATCTGTCATCCATCTGTGGAACAGTGATAAACTAGTAGATGTACGTTACCATTGTTTATCAAAATATAACTAAAACAGTTTGACCGTGAGCTTATCGGGAAGATGGGATGATTGCTTCATCTATGATATGATATGATTCTTTATTTCCTCCAATTTGGAGAGCCAACATGTAAAAACGTCTAATTGACTTTATTAGGGAGGTTTAGTTACATGTTTTATGAAAATCTTGCACTGCGCACATGTAGAAGTATTTGGATTCGTTCTCTCCGACTGAGTACAAAGGTAAACAAAAGTGATAGGATTTAAGGTCCAAAAAGGTAAATAGGGGTACAGTAATGCCAGATTCCCCCCGGGCCCTCGGGGAATATCATATTGTCTCTCGGGATAAAACCAATATTGAATCCCTCTCGAAAAATAACCTCAATATAATAGCATTGTATAATTGCAATATCATTAAACCAACACTCATCCAATACAACTCTTGAGAACGATGTACAACTCCTGGATAGCGTACACAACTCCTGGGCAGCGTATCTCTTCAACTTGATAAATGACGTCATACTTTGGGTGGGATAATTATAGGATATCCTATGATTTTGAGGAATATCATTTTTATCTACGAGGTGACATATTGATATCTGCACGAGAGAGCAAAGCGAACGAGTGCATATATCAATATCATCGAGTAGATTAAAATGATATTCTGAAAAAATCATAGGATGTTCTTACTATCCTACACTTAAAAGGAGTGTACTAAAAGTATAATATCATTGCA